AGCGTTAGACCATTGACCTCGCATCCCTACAAAGCCGGGACGGAGCACGCCGATTTTCACCCGACCAGACAGAAGGGGGGGGGGGTATGAAATAGAGCAAAGAGAGACGCAGCAGACACAAACACTCGAGCCTTTGACGGTAGAGCAAAGGTGCACGACACCTTTGCCCCCTTTCTCCTCCGTGCTTGTTCGCCACAGGCTCACCGGGGTGCTCGAGCTTGGAGGTGCCGTAGCACTTGAGCGTCTCGAGCGGCTTGTTGGGCGTGAACACCTCGCCGACTTCCATGGTTGCGATGGGCAGGTCGTTGCCTTCCTGCTTGAGCAAAATCTTCATCCCTGCGGGATTGATTTAAACATGCAAATCGGTTCAATACCAGGGGGGACAAAAAAAACACGGGGAAGGAGGAGGGATATTCGGGGCAAAAAAGTGTCACACGTGCGGCGTGTTTGATGGTTGTTGTTGTTGTCGTCTTGACTACATTGAAAAATGCTCCGGTCTCTGCTCAGTACCGTACACCCACATGTATCGGTATCTTCGGTGTTAGTTCTAGTGGGTTCCTCCCTCCCATTGGAGACTATGAATAAGCCCGCTTTTCTGCATGATAATCTCCACCCTGGGCACAACATGTCAAGACAGATGCCTGGAGATAGAAACCTTGACAAGCAACGCAAGAGGCTAGGCTACTACAAGTCGCTGTGCCACAACAACAGCAACAACAACAACACGACGACGCAGGGGTACAGAGAAGAACAAGAGGGGAACAAGGCTCCTTGAGAGGTCAACACAGCAAAAAGCAATGGCGAACACGCCACCGACAACAAGCAGCAACCAACTGACTGACCAGGCTTCAAGTCTTCGCGGTCCGTGTCGTAAACGACCGGGAGGCCAAAGAGCAATCCGTTAGGCAGGCGGTTCTTCTCCACCACGCTCATGTACTCCTCCTCCGTCATGAAGCCCGTCAGGGGGCTGAAGCCTCCATTGCAGATGAGCTCAGCGTCGCACAGCTGGCGAGGGTTGAGGTATATCTCGATGTCGCAGGCCGCAATGGCTGCCTGGAGTTGCGAAAGAAACAAAAAAGTACGCGGGCGAGAGACAGTCCTGTTTAGGAAACACACCCGCAATCCTGATGCTGGCTGTTCACAAACCTCATTCCCGTGGACAGCTATTAACATGTTGCCGGCACCTACATGAAACACCGCATGTTGTGGTGACACGAGTTCGGACCTCCGCTCACTCAAACGCAACTTGCCAGCTTGCATATGCAGAGACTACGCCTATGCATGCATACGCGCATGACATGCCTTGACGCAACTTGGAACACGAACGGTAACGTTTCGTGTGGACGCAAGAGCGCTTGGATATGGTGCCTGAGTGATTCCGTTGGTAGGTGCAAACTCCTGGCATCTTCTGGCTCTAGGTTACGGGTGTCGAATCTCGCCGCATTGGCAAACTCGCAAGTTACAGCCGCAAACTTGGATGGGAAACGCGTAGTCCTGAATACCCACGGCAACAGCAATTCTATAGAAGGTGGTTGCTCTACCCTTCTCGCGTCAAAAATTGAAGGCAAGCGCCGCAGGGCAAAGAGTGGGCAATGCTTCCTTTGTGAACCCGGCTGGTGCAGACTGGCACCCAGAACTGGTGGGACCAAAAAAAACAAAACGACTAAACGATCGACGAGGGAACAACACGGCTGAACCCTGTAACGCGACAAACAAAACTATGTACAAATACAGCAGAAACAGCAGTAGGAAAGCAGCGCAAGAGGAGGCTAGTGGACAGTAAAAGAGTTGTTCGTACTTCGTAATATTTTCGCCGTTTTGTCCTGTCTGACCCCGATTGATGGGTCCACCCACCAAAAACGATATAATTATTCCGAAAGGTCTAATGTACTGCGGTATTGTAATCTAAAAGGTCTCGTTCTGGCGTTCGGGACGATACCACACCAAGCACAAACACGTTTTTGTCGTGGAAAAAGTGTGGCTCCTGCTGCTTCAACTCAGCATCTTCCAGCTAAACGCTGGTGTGTACAGAAGTAGATAGAGCATCTCGTCTGTATCTTCCACTGGATGCATGTAACGTTGCCTCCTGACGGAGGGAATAAGGTTGGTCCATTATCTTGGGGATCGCATAGTGTTTGGTGTTGTCGCCATTCACAACACGTTTTGCATGCATGCGTCGGATGAAAGCAGGTGAGTTGAGACAACAAAGACACGATGCACTTCCGTCACAGAAGCGTTTTACGAAAGGTTAACTTTGTTATCATGGGCACCAACAACGACAGAATCAGCTCTCTCTCTTTGCGTCTCTCCCCTCTCCCTCCCTCCATGCATGTGGAGCGGTGTGGACAGGAAGGATGACAGGATCAAGCAGGGTTGAAGGAATAGGACAGCACGCGGTGCCAACAGCAATCAAGACTTCAATCGAATGTAGTCTCATGTGCTACTTTTATCTACATCGCACGGCGACAAAAGTTGTCGGGGGATACATATGGGCGGCTGCGTCCGACTACGAAGCCCAGGTTTCACACGCATAGCAGCAGCAGTGGATGCTCTACCCTGTACGCTCTTGGATGTTATCTCGCCGTACCACCCAAGCCCGCTGTGCGGCTGCTGCAGCTGCTGCCGCTGCTTGGGGCGTGTGGGCGTATCACACGGATCTGTAGTACGTGTTCGTTCTTTCTTCATACATCATCATGCGCAAAAAATCGCCAAACACCCACACCGCCTGCCGCACCTTCTTCTCTTCGTCGCTTTTGAGGTTGAGGTCAACAAGCGTGCCTCCGTGGGGCACCGCCGCCACGGTGTCCTCCTTAGCAGGCGCGGCAACCATGTACTGCTGCTGCTGCTGCGCCCTCGCCTGACGTCCTACGGCAGCCTTTGACTTCCCGGACACACATGATGGTTGTGATTGGCGCAGCGCCAGGGAGTTGCTGGTAGCAGGCAAGAATCCCTCCACAACCGATGCACCCGCCAGCACCGCTACCAATCCACAGGTCTTCATGATGGCTATGGCTATAGGGACGTAGAGCTGGGTGTACGCACGCATACATCGCATCGTTTTTTGGCCTAGGGGGGTCGGCGCACAGCAGGGTGACAATTTACGACATACCCATCAAACGAATTTCAGAGCCCCGCTGCCTTGCTAGCCGAAAGGCGTATCACACGTGTTGGCGCCTGTATATACGCCAGCGCTGTGGCGAGATTCTTCAACTCGCCAGTTCAACAATACTTGGGTTGTGATTGGAGGTAGACACGAAGCCAAAGCCACAGCAGGTTTCCAGCCCTCAGGCAGCACCAAGGCGCTAGGCCTCACTAGGCCTAACCCACCCCCACCCCTACTAACCCTAACCCTAACCCTAACCCTAACCCTAACCCAGCACCCCAAAATAGGTCGTTGTGCAGTGGGTAGGCCTAGTTCACTGTACCGAGCTACTGGAGCGTGCAAGAATCTCGCCAGCGCCGGTGTATATTCGCCTCGTCCCGTGCTGGCTGGCGTTCCGGTACTACTGGCTGTTATGCTTTTTTCTGGATGCATCATCATCATCATCAGCCGGTCCGGTGCGTCGTCTGTCTTCATTTTTTTTTGTTGTCTATCTCGCTTAATTAATAATGTGAATACTCTACATATCAACAACAACCGTCTCTCCGTCGACCCAAATTCACCAATTCCGATTCACACCTAGACGCTTCGCCGTAGGGACCACTGCAGGACCTGGTGCGTCTTCGGCTCGCAGCTTGCGTTAGTCAAAATTGTTGATGGCTCCGGCGACCTTTGCGTCAATCAATGCATCCACCCACAGCAGCAACAACGGCAGCAGCAGCAGCATTGTTGCAACGAATTTATTCTTGCATTTTTCTGCTTGAAATGAACCCCAACTCAACCACGGCAAGCTAAGCACATCAGGGAGTCTAAGGCAAAAAATCTGTACGGAGAACAGCATCATTGCGACGAGAAAACGTCATTTCTCTATCGTTTCGCATTTTTTTCATTTTCTACGGCATTGAGAAAACACGCCTCCTCACGTTTTTTTCGCGCTTCCTTCGCGCGAAATAATTTCATTCCCCATCTGGACCCCGATTCATGGAATCGGAGCCGGCCGTGCTGCAGAGCAAACCATGCAAGGGTGTGTGATTGTTGGGGGCGTTTGAACAATGTGAAGTCGTTAGCAGTGAGGTGATTTTTATCATTCCCTTACCTTCCAGCGCCCACTTGTACCCGTGTGTGATGTGGAACGCTACTGCTGAGTGCCTCTGTCGGTTTGTTTGTTGTTTGTTTTGTTTGTCTTCACATTAAACCGTATGTCAGTTGCTAAATGCCAAAATCTAGCAAAAGACTCTCAGCCCGTGGTCACGAAAGTGCTAGAGCCATCTGAGGATCAAAAGAACACGCACACATCTGACGAGAACAAGGTATGCAAGAGCGCGAAGAGGTACACCTAAAAATCCCTGCAGCACCGTATGCGTGCCCAAAAACTGAACTGCACGTCCGTCCCACCGTTCGACTACAGTAGCATCACCCCCTCCCTGTCCCACTCTATACCAAAACGGAAGATTGCCGACTACAGCATAATGCT